AAAAAAAAAAAAAAAAAAAAAAAAAAAAGTCGTTTAGTATGTTTTTTTGGATAACATAGTTTTTTTTCGGATTTTTTGGATTTGTTTGTGTTTTCTTTGTTTTGGCTGGGACCTTCCCTGGTCCTTGCGCAGCAGGGCAACCTGGGAAAATAGGGTGACCCCGGCCACCCGGGAAAATGGTTTTTTTTTTCGGATTTTTTGGATTTGTTTGTGTTTTCCTTTGTTTTGGCTTGGACCTTCCCTGGTCCTTGCACTGCCGGGCAACCCGGGAAATAGGGTGACCCCGGCCGCCCGGGAAAATAGGGTGATCTGGGCCGCCCGGGGAAATGGGGTGACCCGGGCGGCCCGGCTGGTAGCCTCGTTTTTCGCTCTAAATGAGCCTAGTGAAACGGATTCCACCTGTCGCAGTAGCCAACGCAGATCCCAGGGCTCGATCCCTAGTCCTCACTTCACCTGTGTACAGTACCTGAGTCGACCCTGAGAGTTGAACCACTTGTGTATTCGCAGTAGTTGATAGGCTGTCGTAGGTCCGTAGGTTGCAGGGGTATCTGTAGACCTATTGGCTAGAGGTCTTAGGGAGGCCTGGAGGTCGTAGCTGCTACAGTCCTGAAAGGTCAAGGTTGTAGCTGCTACAGTGTTCGAAAGGCCAAGTCTCCAGCCTTCCGGAAGGTCCCAGTAGTGGCCTTGCAAAGTTTGCTCCAGTTTAGACAGAGGCAAGTAGGCAAGTGGTGAGCCCAACTCCGGTACGTCGGCGGTGCGACTGCATTGAGTTGGCAGTGCAAACCCATGCAGTCAGCAGTACCGGTCTCAGTCAGTCACAGTCCAGTCAAGCAAGTACCGTGTGGGACTGTGTGCACCAGGGGCAGGGGAAAGGGGCAGACCAACGAGCTACAGAAGTATAAATGAAGAGGCAGCACCCAGCCATTCATTCATTCGCTGCGTAAGCCATGCGGAAGCGCTGCTACAGCGCCTTGTGCGAAGGTGGTCTGCAGGTTGCCCAAAGACGAAGTGGGCTGAAGGGAGATCGTAGCCATAGTCAGTAGTGGTAGTGCGGCCATAGCCGCAGTAGGAGGAAGTGAGATTAAGTGTGTGTGTGTGGTGGTATTCAGGGTGATCCAGAGTGAGCGTGTGTGAACAGTGGGGTTGGACACAGTGACGAAGTTTGGGATGTTCAGGCGACGATGCACCATAGCCTGTTGAAGTGAACTTGCATCTGAACTGTGTTCTTGATTTCCATATCGCTAAGCTTTGAGTGGGCGCGCCAGTGTGAATTTCCATGTGTTTGCATGTATGTGAAGTGGAAGTGAAAGCGATGTCTGATTGCACTAGGCTACTAGAGAGGCCTGGGGCCTCTCGCCCAGCCGGGCCAAAAAGAAATAAGAAACTAAACTATGTATTTTAATTTTGGCAAAGAATTTTGATGTGACCCTGTTTTTCCGTTTTTTTTTTTTTTTTTTTTTTTGCTAGGACCCTGGTCCTTAAAGCCAGGCCATCCGGGAAAATAGGTTGACCTGGGCGGCCCGGCTGGTAACCTAGAAATAACTCAAATGTTTCTTAATGGGGTGACCTCATGTAGCGCAGCGCCTCCCCATTTCTTTTCTTTTCTCTTTTCGTTGTGGGGACAAGTTCACCGATCCGGACGACTCCCACCCAGGTCGTCCGCCCATCGCCCGACTGGTAACCTAATTTTTATTTGTTATTTTTTTTGTCACCGAGTGTTTTTCCTCCAAATCAATCTCTCCCATTCCTCGCCAAGATACTATAGCCAGAGTTTCAAGCATACATTCACAGAATCTCCACACGAGACAAGGAGCACTACTGCTTAAAACACCATCATGACGGAAGCGCCACCATCTTCCATGTGCTCCAAAAGGGCAGCCCGTGGGAGTGACACCCAAAGTGAAGACTCTCTGAGCCCCCTTGTGAAGATACTGTGACCATGACTCCAAACAAACACTCCCGCCCCAAAAAATTGTGGTCACCCACCAACATGCCTTCATCAACAGACAGCCCATGCTCTACAGCAGGGCAAAGAATTATGCCACGTATGAATAAAGAACAACCACCAAATCATCCGACCACAAAAAAAGAATAGCTCTCTAATAAGAGCCCAATCCTAGCCGCTCGAATCTGCCAAGACAGAGAGCTAGCAAGACCGGAGTGTGTGTTAGCCAACATCCCCCCAACCTCTCTCTCGCATTCCATCCTCAAATCATGGCAAACCATCCATAAACAAAAAAAAAAAGTCTAGATGAGCATGTGCTGCATATGTGGGAGTTGTGGGGTATTGTATTCCATGTCATCGTGCATGTGAAGTTGTTTGTGTGTGTAAGGCGTAAGTCGTTAATTTTGGATTGCATGATTCTCCCGAAATGTATGACGAGATATTCCAAAGTCTCTATAAAAAACTTTCGATCTTCCAGTGCTCTTATCAGCACCACTCACTGGTGGGGACATTTCTTTAAAAAAAAAAAAAGAAGAAGAAGAAGAAAAAAGAAGGAAGAAGAAGAAGAAGAAAGAAAGAAAGAAAGAAAGATCCAGTCATTGTCAGAGAGCGAGGGGAATCAACGAGTTTGGAATCCCTGAGGTGCCCCTGCATGAATGCATGCACGCATTGCACGGTCCAGACGTTCAAGAGTCCAAGTGCATATCGACAGGGCCACTCCAGGAATTTCAAAATTCGACCCTCTTGGCTGAACATGCTGTGAGCACTCCGAACACCACCCACCCTCACACTTGCAGACAACACCATTAGAAGCTAGCAAACAGCCAACAAAGCAACCCTGCACAAACGAAACACCTTCAGTCAGGCACAACTGCGAAAATACGTCCAAAAACACAGGTTTCTCCAGTTCCGCCACCACCCCGACCCCCCAACCCCCACCCCCAATAAGTAAACATAACAACAGCAGTATAAGGGTAGACATGACAATTCCGCAGCTCACTTGGCCTGCAAAGTTAATTAACTCTGGGACCGCCAGTGGGATCCCCACCACAAGGTACTGTACACTCAGCTGACTTACTACAGTGGTGTGTCGTACATCTTAAAACTTGAAAGTGTGGTTGCACACGCCGCCCTTACATTTCCCCACTTCTCATATATACCCTTCAAATTTTAAAAAGTTAACCTCCTCACCTTCTTTTTCATTAAAGTACTGCATACAAGTGGTACAACAGACATCAACACCACCAACACCACCTTTCCCGACAGATTTCGACGGTGTCTCTCCATCCAAAAGAAACGAGTAAAAAACAACACCAAAAGAAACGAGTATAAACGACCCCAACAGCGAGTTGCTGTTCAGTTCTCTCGACTCAAGTGCACTCACTACGGAATTCGTCAAAGTAAATTAAACCACATGAGAGATCAGACCGGATAAAATTTTAGGACCGGATGACCCCCCACCCAGCCCAATTGGGCATATTGCCCTCATCTCTCAAAAAAGTCACTGCAGGATATCCAAAATAGTACCTTGACAACCCCCTCCCTTCTCTCCACAGCGAGTTCATCCATCAGACACACAGACACACTAACTGCAACAAGCTCAGGAAAACTTACTGGAGGACTCGCACAGAACACTCGCTAAGAAAAAAGCATTGGCCTCATAAGACAGCCAAATTTGATCCTATATCAAGGGGATTGCATTTCTCCACTCTTGCATTCACCTCCCTCTCTGTTCTTATCCTTTTTCAGTTATGTCCCTCGCAGCTTCCAGTTTGCTGCCACAAGTGAGCTATCAGAAACCTATCAAGTCTCAGCACAACATATAGAGACACTTCTCTGCATCCTTCCACTAGAGGTGCGTCCCCTTCACCGGAATTCTGCACCCATACATAGCCATAGCTAGATATATATCAGACCAGCTTAACCACTGCCTGCCAACACAGAGAATCGTCACACTACAGCTCACCTGTGCCTACTGCTGCAGGGTTGCAATGCAATCATATGCTCTCTCCAATCCTTATCCACCAGATGAACCAGACAGTGCACCCTCTGTTTAAAACTCTCGGATCCCATCTATATACCCAATCTGAGTTGGGAAACCGTCTTGACATTGTACTCCCTACTGTCGATTGTACAATCAACTCTGTGCTTCACTGAAAAACACAACCACCATCTCAACAACACCCATCTCCAACCATCTCTCATCTCCTTCCCCTTACATCACACACTCTCACTCCCTCACAAAATCTTCACGCTCTCTCTCTCTCTCTCTCTCTCTCTCTCTCTCTCTCTCTCTCTCTCTCTCTCTCTCTCTCTCTCTCTCTCTCTCTCTCTCCCTCTCTCACTCACTCACTCTCTCACTCTCTCACACACACACACACCATTCCCCCATTTCTAAAAAACATAATTCAAAGTGAAGCTGCTTCACGATCTTACAACCGTCTCAGCACTGGCAGCTTCCTCCCCGCCCTCAGTTTTCTGTGGCATGACAGAGCTCCCGTTTCCCCCGTCCACCACCCCTACCGCTGGTGCTCCATCAGTTGACTCCACAACCTGCTCCGGCTGGCCATCCACTGCCGGGCTATGAGGAACTGGTTCCCCATCCACAATGGGCACATAGTGCCCCTCCACGAAACCCTTCTCGTTGAGTCCACTGACAAGGCGGTATGTGACCTCCTTTGCAGGCTGTGTAGGTTCTGCTGCTACTGGCTGCAGAGTAGCAATTTTCTCTTTCTGCAGCTTGCCCTTCAGATCTTCCTTTGCCAGAGGAGTGAATTGCTTGTCCAAGGAGCGTGCTGCCGCAATCCATGCCAGGACGATAAACAGCAGAATGACTCCCAGGTAGGGAGTCGATTGCGCCAGCGATCCGAACCCGATGATCATGAACTGCTGGATCAGGGCACCGCCAGACTTGCCCAGTGGGTTGCAAACCACATCAATGGCAGCTTTTCCCTTAACCTGCAAAACAGGAAGGAGAAGAGAGGACCAGAGCACCAACAGTCAGAAGATGCAAAACAGGGCCCGCAAACAGGGCCCGGAAACAGAGGAGTGTCAGGCAAGATTACACAGGGGTGAGGGGTGGAAGGAATCAATGCTGCCCATTAGGACATCCCAGCCATAATGGGGCGGGGCGTTGAGACGGTTTTTCGTTCGTGATTTCACTCGATCCGTTGGAATAGGGAGCGGACTGCTGGCTCCGCAGAATAGGGGTCTAAGTGTCCCAAATTTGGGGACAACAAAACAAAAAAGACAAGAAGCCAGAGCAACAAGAATTAGTAGATCTGTAGCTCTTCCGTCTTTCCAGGATGGGTGGGCACCTGGTGGGCATGCCATTTTAACCTGTAGCTGTTTTACCTCACAAGCTTGCCACACAAAACCAGTCCCACCCACCAATCGAAAACAAAAAACTGGATGCATCCTTCCAAAACGCAGACGGACAAAGTTGAACCTATAAAGATCATTTCCATACAAAACAACCTGGCCACATGATTGGACAGGATTCACAGGAACGGATATATTATTCCACGTCTACAAAACTAAGGGGAAAGACCCAGAACTGCACCAGGGGGGGGTTGCACATCCCAGCTGGACCAGTGTGGTTCGGGGCGCCTCTGTCGTGTGGTACAGGGCGCCAATCTTCAGAACATGTCAGGGTAGCTTTCCAGGGGTGTTTATTGGAAAGGAGGGGGGGGGGGGGGGGGGGGGGGGGGGGGGGGGGGGGGGGGGGGGGGGGGGGAGGGGTAAAATCGCTAAAGGGGAGGGGCTTGTGCTCAGAAGTATGGGCATAACTGGCAGTCAATGCATCCCAGGGAAGCAATCAATGCAGTCAAGGCTCCCCAGGCGTACTCGAGTGTTGTACTCGGATTCTTGACTTGCCGGTGGTATAGGAACCGGACTGATGCTCCCAAGAATAGGAGCCATGTTTTTTAAAGATCTTCAAGATTGCAAAAAACAAACAGACAAAACAACAAACAAACAGAAACAAACAAAGAAACCAAAAAAACAAATCGGTCACAGGATTGCACAGCATTTGCAGCGAAGGAGATAATTTGACATAACTATCCAAGCCGGTCAGGTGTCCTTCAGCTGTACGGAAGGAAGGGTTCAGTCTAGATAAGAGCAGAGATGACTGGATTTGGCACTTAATTACTTGACATACACGTCTATAGACTCAATTAATATCTGGCGAGAGAGGATGAGAGATCATCTATCTATAATTTCAATTCAATCACAAGAGATAACAAAAATTTCCAAGAGGCATCCCGAATATGCATACAATCCTGTCCTCACTGAGTTTACTCTGATTAGCCAGGGAACGACCAGCAGACCGATGCTCCCCAGAAAGGACATGAAACAGGCGCATGAGAACGTGATTCCAAAACAGAAAAAAAAAGTGCACCAGATCAGAAACATTCAAATTTCAAACATACAATATTCAAAAGTGCACCAGATCAGAAACATTCAAATTTCAAACATACAATATTAATTTTCAGCACCAGACCACCTCTCTTCTCTACTACAGCTCACCTTGACTTCCTCGTCCAGTGGAATATAGGCCATCTCCTTGCAGGGGTCAAAGAGACTGTACTTGGCGCTCTTGCTGAAGATGTTTTGCGCCGCACCCACATAGACAGCAGCCAACAAAGGCGTTAACCCAACGGCCGCCAGAGCTGGCGTGAGGGGCCCGCTAAACAGGACCAACGAGAAGAAGGCAACTCCGGTAATGAGCAGAACTGTGGGGGTGATCAGTGCTGCCGTGCCCCATCCGTACTTCCTGAAAATAACACGGCTCAGAAGCATCATGGCAAATGTGACAGCACCAGTCGCCGTTGAGAAGTCGCCCATAAATGCGGAGTAGTCGTTCGGGTTGGGGAACTGCACACCGAAAACGCAGAGGCAAAGAACCAAAGCAAAACAAAACAAACCAAAACGAAAAATCAGTCAGAAATCTTGGGAGAACCCTTCGAAACCACACCACCTTTCCCCCACATCCCTCCTTTGCCCCCATCCACCCCCATTTCCCACACTCGCCCCCTCTGACACCCTCCCCCTCACACCACCACAGCGCCGAACTCTCCAGCAACTATCCCAACCAGTTTCCCACTCTCCCCCTTCACCTTCCAGATGCCTATTACAACATATGTCCTGCAGCACCCCCTCTGCTCTCCTACACACTTTTCCTTCCGCCCACATTCCACCCCTAACCCCTCCTCCCTCCTTCGAACATCAGTCTGTACCCACTTCAAACAACATGACCGCAAACAAGCAGACCAGTTCAATGCACCGGTCTGCATGCACCCACTCTTTTTGTCACACGTATCCTGCATGCGCTTCCTTCTTCTCGTCTTGCCATAAATAAAACACTTGTTCCACGCCAACTTGCCTTTCGATAATTAGATTCCTTACACACTGCAAGCCTCCCCTCCATTCATACCATTCATGCAACAGCAAGCTCTCCCTAGAACTACTTCACCCCACATCACATCTGCTCCCACCTCAACTCTGCCTGGACATACTAACCTGAGACCTGCTTATATCAGTTCAGCCCTGGTCTCAACAACCGCCCGTCCACACATCGTCTTGTCAGTTTTTAGACTCGTTCCAAAAAGGTTTTTGCAAACTTGTGGCAGATATCATTTGACACTCCACAGTACTGATCTCAACAGGCCCCTGATGTTTCTCTTGCACATACAAACTCCTACACTCCTTAGTCCTTCAGCTATTATCGAACCTTAACAAGTTCAATATGGTTACCCTCTTTACAAGCTCCAGCATCCCATTCTACAGAAGGGAGTGGAGAACAAGGACGCGGAGGACAGGAGACAAACTAAGAAAAGAGAAAAAAGATATTAAGAAAAGAGAGAGAGAGAGAGAGAAGCAAAATTATATTCACTTGCAACTATACAAGTGCAGCCATGTCCTCTAAGATGTGTGGGGACCAAAAACAGATTACAGAAAGACGAAAGGAAAGGGGGGGGGG